AAAAAAATGTTTTGTGGTTTCAGGTACACGCTTATTAAATTAGAACTGCGGAATTCAACTACACTGTAAACCCCCATTACACGGTATGAAATTACTAGGTGTATATGTTCAGGGACAGGTGTTGTTGACTGGATAATTCATTTCAGGAATTTGAGACACCTTGTATATAGAACCATTGAATAATATACAATGATAGAACTTTACGAGCAGGACCACCCCTCGGACCACCCTGTAGAGCGCATATGTATTAATTCAAAAAATGAAGGTGTCTTTACATTTTTATAACACGCTCACGGAATCTTCTCAGTTCTCAACTACTCAGTATAGTCTTTTATGTTTCATTATGTAAACACCGCGTTAAGTAAGAAAAATAAACAAACCTGAAATAATTCCATCCATTTGAAGCAAAGCCGCCTCTAACAACTTGCTCGCTTCCGTTTGCGGAGAAATTTCGGGAACACCTTCATTATGCTGTTCCACCTTGCCCATTTTCACCCACAAATTTAATTAATTGGAACTTTAAAAACTTCGAAAGTACTTAAGTGGTAAACACCTAAGGATATTATTACAAACTTTTCGCGTTTACAAGAATTTATTGTTGGCCGGTAAAGAACGAGATTACGACGAAAGTACTTTATTTAGCGCGTTATACAAGAAAAATTAATAAAGTTTGTGTTTAAATTAAAGTTCATAAACAAGATTAACCACAAATAATATTAAAACAACACAACATACACATGACTGCTAAACCAAATGTCAAAAACAAACCAGCATGTTGGCTCCATCTATATTTGTTTAGAAGAGACATAATGAAAACAGAAAGGGCAGCTTCCATTTCCTGAATTATGTATTTTATTTATTCTGATGATTTTTAGCTTCCTAGCATGTGCTAGGTAGCTATTGCGATAGCCGTTTTTTGAACATTTTAAAATTTCGTCAAATGTCGACGTTTTAGACCATTTTAAGCAACTTTTAAAGAATAAAATTTTTAGCTTCCTAGCATGTGCCAGGTAGCTATTGCGATAGCCGTTTTTTGAACATTTCAAAATTTCATTAAATGTCGACTTTTTAGACCATTTTAAGCAACTTTTAAAGAATAAAATTTTTTCCCGTCTGTATGTACGTACGTACGTTTGTTGGCAATTTTCTGAGAAAACGGCTCGACGGATTTTGTTGAAATTTTGTATATATGTTTTAGGCATACCGAACAGAAAAATAACGGGCCGGATTTTTGAAAAAAAATTTTGGAGCGCCGTAACGGCATCGAACTTTTTTTTTCAAATAGCAACCTAAAATTTTTATTCTATTATTTGGTAGACCTTATTTTGCTGTGTACAACCTACAAAAAATTGGGCCGGGTTATATTATCAAAAAACGGAGAAAAAAAATTGTCAAAGTCAAAAAATTGTGTTGCATATGTGCAAAACGCAACGATCTTATTTCTGAAGCAATTTAAACGAAATTTCTATGGTCCCTTTAATAAAAGCAAACAAAATTCATGCGCAAAAATCGTGTTGCACATGCGCAGAAATGCAATTTTCTTATTTATGGAACAATTAAAACGAAATTTGGATGGTAGGTCCTCCTAATAAAAGAAAACAAAATGCATGCGCAAAAATCGTGTTGCGCATGCGCAGAAATGCAATGTTCTTATTTATGGAACAATTAAAACGAAATTTGGATGGTAGGTCCTCCTAATAAAAGAAAACAAAATGCATGCGCAAAAAATCGAGTTGCGCATGTGCAACATCCAACTTTCTTATTTATGGAGCAATTTTAACGAAAATTGGATGGTAGGTCCCTCTAATAAAAGTAAACAAAATGCATGCGCAAAAATCGTGTTGCGCATGCGCAGAAATGCAACTTTCTTATTTATGGAACAATTTTAACGAAATTTAGATGATAGGTCCTTTTAATAAAAGCTAACAAAATGCATGCGCAAAAAATAGTGTTGCGCATGTGCAACATCCAACTTTCTTATTTATGGAGCAATTTTAACGAAATTTGGATGGTAGGTCCCTCTAATAAAAGCAAACAAAATGCATGCGTAAAAAATGCATCTTTCTTATTTTTTCCGTCTGTAAGTGCGTACATATGTTGGCAATTTTTGGTTTCAGCTAGGAAGCTATTCTGTCAAGAATTTGACACCTGGTTTAATACAGTGGAAATTTTAAATGTTTTCAAGTGCCGATGTTAAAGTTGCAAACATAAATTGCCTATAACCATTACATAATGCACTGATTCTTGCTGCATTTTAAATTGCATTGCATTCTTCTCAGCATGAAAGAAATCACTCTCGATTAGCCAATTACATGCTTTGATTTTTCAAAATTCACGCCTTCACGGTAATATGCAAAAATTACATTGCTTTGAAAATAACTGATAGAGCGTATCTTAGCAACCCCGTAAGTCGCCATGTGAATAGTCAAATACACAACTCCTTTCTGCTGTGCTGTTTAGTGTTTCCCATAATTTTTATAGTCCAGTCAAATTATACGGTTTGGGCTGGATGTTGTTACTTCACTCAACGAAAGCAAGTGTACCCACTACGTAAAAAAAATCCGCTGAATCGGAAAATCATAGTCCCCCTGGGAAACTCTCGATGATTCTTTCAAATTAATCGACGGACTCGACATTTTTGGTTGTCTTGAAAACAAGCTACAAATAAGTTTCCATTTGCATATTATAGTTACATTTCTTGTTATATTTTAAAAATTATTCAATTTCTTAACTAAGAAAATTTTTCGTAATTTGAAAAAAAATTCCACAGATAGTGTTTTCTTTGTCGAAATTCACCTTTTTAATTAACCTTTATTTTATTACGAAATGGAAAGTACACTTCATGGGTATTATTTATCAAATGTATTTCTTAACTTCATAATCAAAGTCAATCAAACGGGGAATTATTCAGATTATTCAGTTATTTATTGACACCATACAAATGGGACACCCTGTACATTCAAAAATAATTTCTGTAGATACGTAACCATCTACAGTAGTTGACATTTGCATAAAAGATTTTTTAAATATTTTTTACTGGGTATGAGCATATACAATGGTTTGAGTTAGAAAAGACCGACGGACTGTTGCAGGACCCTGTATATACTCAACCAAATATTCGAATATTGAATCGAAAATTTTTAGTGGCTTTTTAGCTGGGAAATATTGTAAATTGTATCTTTCAGCTATTCCGTTTCAATACCGTTGCCGACCCGAGGCGCTTTCTTTCGGCTGCTTAGCAATCATGATTTCAAAATCGTGATTCGTAGGATCACGTTTTACGAAAGAACGCGCGAATTTAAGTCAAAACATGGTTACGTTTACGTAGTACACATACAAGGTTGGTATCTTAGACTATGAAAGAAAGGGGACTGACAATATCCTATCCAGCGCAATGCTGCGCGGTGAAACCTGGGGCGGCCATATTTTCGGAGCCAAAATTTGTTTAATTTTTCATTTTCGTGATTATGCGATCCTTAAGTCTCGAAATATGCGATTAAAAACATTAGTGGACAATGGTACATTGTAGTGCACGGAAGTAATAGCCAAAAAACACACGAAAGTATTTCGTTTCACAGGTATAAATTTGAGGTTAGTTTTCGGTGGAATAACAAACAAATGTGGGCTACACTTTACGATCAATATTATCACTCCTCATTCTTTCCATTCTTTCCTTCTCTAAGGTTGGTATATTACAGGTTGCCTCGTAACTATCGACCAATAGCAATCGAGGCGCGAATACGTCACATGGTATCCCACGATTTAAACGAAATAATAAATGCATGCAGCCATACAGCTGGAAAATTTGATGCGTAGCTATTGTTTACAGTTCTTTGATGATGTTTGAATCGTTTAACTACTGAAACACAAATATTCATTTTATATTTTAAAATTTAGTAATTATAAATCGTTATATAATACAGTCAATCTTCGTCTGATGTACCAGTGTTTACCGTGAAAGATAAACAGCTTCATCTAACAATCAATTGCGTAGTCACAGTTTATATTGTCTCTACACTTAAGTCTTCGATTTGTAGATGAGATAGGCGGTATCAACGAGACCATATGATCCTCCTGCTTCGGTCAGTTTTAAACACGTTCATCTTCTGCCGACCCGCTTTTCCCTAAAGCATCATTTTCTTTCATTTTCCATAAATATCGTGACCGCCAATCAACAATGTTGCTACGTTCCATCAATAATTGAAATTGAAATTAACATTACCTAATTTAGTTATGAGTTTTATTGATTTGCCGTCACAGCAGCAGCTAGCTCTGTAGCCTTTTCCAAAGGAAATGCCCACATACGGCAGCTTTCTGTTTGTCAAAGAATTCCACGACCCTTTTAATAATATTTCTAGGTTCTGAATGCACAGGTTCAATATTTATAACCTTACGCGTATGTCACATGACAAGTAATGACAAGGTAACGAAATTTGAGTGGCTACCAGTGACGTCACGAGCAGACGACTTGATCCCCATTATTGCAGTTACGAGGCAACCTGTAATATATCAACCTTGGTACACATATGCATTCAAATTACCTATTTTTTGTTTGGATTATGAAAATAATTTAAATACAAGTGAAAGTACTTGCACGATTATGCCCCCTTCAGTTACAAATATTGACTAACCTAACATTTGAGTAAAAATATCCTTGCATTTATAGGCTAGGAATTCGTGATCATAAAACTTTTATGTTTACTTGTTCACGATTTTAGCAATCATGATAATAAGATCACACTTCGAAAGAACGTGATTTGACAATCCAAACGCGTTTGGATCACCGAAAGAAAGCGCCTCTGACCTATATGATTTTAACACTCGCTCACTCGTTTAGGAAACTTCATCCTCGTGACTAATAGCCACCATTCTACGCTCGTTGAAGAATGTACTATTACCATCATTCTGTATATTCTACGTCAGATCCCAAGGTTAGTATAACCACAGAAACTAAAGTACGATCCGTAGCGTACTATTCTGTGGTAGCTACTTGACAGGAAGCTAACCACATTCTGATGTAAGATCTAAATCTAACCTGAAACAAAATGACCCTCAAATTTTGAAAAAAGAAAGGCAAACGACAACAGGCGAAAATATGTCTCAAAAATTAGATAAGAGCGTCGCTCAAAAAGAAGTCGTTCAAGCGGTTGTTATTGCAGAACATTTTGGAAATGAATTCATGCCGATTACTGATGATACACCTCTAGTAAGAAAGAAATATGATGCAATCCTGACTTGTTCAATTTAACTTCCTTTCAGACTCTTTTGCCGTTGCTTAACGTACCATTACTTGAATACACTTTGGAATTTTTATCCTTGGGTGGTATCGAGGAAACCTTTCTCTTTTGCTGTTCCAATGTTGTTATGATAAAACAGCATATTAAGTTAGTATTTTCTGCGGAGCTAGCCATTCACTTTTGATTCGATGCATATTTTAGTAGCAGCATTGAGAAATCCGCAGGATGGTCATTAACGATGAAAGTGCACGTTATTGTTTCTGAAACATGCAGGTCGTTCGGCGACTGTATCAGAGATCTGGATGCGAAGGCATTAATTCGTGGCGATTTTGTTTTACTAGAACCAGGAATTGTTGGAAACATAAAATTACTTCCCATTATAAAAAAGCACAAGTACATATACATATGTTGCATTGCATTCACTGAATTCTTGCATCATTACCAACACTTTATTAATATTGTACGGTTTCAGTGAAACATGCAACACGGATAAGGGTGCCGCAATGACTCTGATATTACAAGAGGCTGGGTTAGGTCAGAGAGGTAGGTGTTCTTTTGAGGAAGTGTTAATGGTGGCTACACCCAATAATAGAGTGTTACTTCATCAAAAATTGGGCACATCGAAAAAGGCAAAAATAGAGTTGCCACTGGTAAGGCGGGCGTTAAGTTAACATTCGGGTGAAGTATTTGAAATTTACATTGTAGGAGATACTAATGGACAATGCATCTGTAAATATTTATCACAACCTGAAAGATACGCACATTTCCATATGTTCACCAAATGTGCTCTCCTTGTTTTCTGATAACTTCGATTTTCAAACAAAGGACGATTTCGTGCGTGGACTGTTAATCAATGAGGAAATATTAGGAAGCACCATTTATTGGCATTTAATTAAGGGGAACCAGTATGGAGCCGCAGTGACTAATTGGAGAATGTATCAATCTGTGAGGTATTCAGTTTCTTTTTTCAATAAAATCGACCAATTTGTCAAATTAAGCAATATCATGGCTATAGTCAGTGAAATAGACAATTTTCAATATAAGATTAGCATTTATATTCATAGTGGGTGTTGGTCAAGTTATACAACGTGTTCAAAGTGTAGTTGGGACTATTGCTTATTGCAGCTATGGAGTTGGTTACATTAGGAAACACAAAACTTTCCACCATATTTCCCTTTGACTATGGAAGAAAGGGGACTGATCATATCCTATCAAGAGCAATGCTGTTGATGAGGCAAATTTTCATGTGGCGCCCATATTCTGGGTAGTGATGCGCGCATTCGAATGAAAACTATCGAACTATTCGATAGTCGCAAACCATTCGAATAATTCGATAGTGGACAAGTAATTCATTCGAATGAATTGTCTTGAATGAACGAATTATTTGCAATTGCACACACAGTTCATAAATACTAAATACCTTATGTTACGTTGAAAAATGTAAATATTATTTATTTCTTAATCCAGATGGTCACGGTTTGGGATTGGGAATTATAAATTTTATAATACCTACATAAAATATAAAGCGTCGTTTACTAATTACTTAGTAATTACTCATACCATACGCATTATAAATTTATAAGGCATAAGCAAAGTGAAAAAAGTCGATGATTTACATTTTTATTCGATAGTTGTTCACGAGGTTGTTCATTTATAATTTATATAAGAATATAAGATCCATGTATTTGTATAAGTAATACACATAAAGGAAAAAAATTATTCAAAAAATTCATTCGATAGTGAATTCATTCGATAGTACTTATTACTAAATAGTAATTTATTCGATGGTTTTTTTTTCTCGATAGTTCCCAACACTAAAAAAATGAACCTGTGGGAACTCGAAAAGCTAACTCGGCAAAAACTAAATCTATCCACAATTTCCTCCCTATACAGACTACTATTGTTATAATTGCTGACATTGAAGACTGAATACATTGTTGAATAATAAACCTATTGTTTTTTCATGGGAACGCTATTGAATTGTGGCTCGGTATCTGGCAACGGTAGCTTAAACGGTGTCTCAATATACGGTAACGGAACTTCTTGTTTGAAATTTGAAAGCAGACATCTCAATCTCATCGTTTGATTGATTTTACATGAAACAATGTTGAGGCAAAGAGTAACTAATAATAAGAGATGCAGCGTATCATTAAATTGTGAAATAGTTTGAATCTACTCAGCGCTGGGAGGGCGATACCCTGGCCCTATAGAGCATTCGCACCTTAGTATGCAGTATGGGGTCTTATGGACTATATCCCTCCTTTACTAATTTGCGTCATTCTTCAATAACGCTATCCTTATTCCTTACCGCAATGATGCCAAACTTACATATGATTGAATTTAAGCTTTAAAACAAAATATAACGTCAAATCTTCTTGTATTGTCATTACGTGTGTGGTTCGTTTTTGTCTTTCGTATTTAACACATTTTATTGTCTCATTGCTTTAAAAATCGTTCTTTTAAGAACGCCTCCATCTCGTACTTTATATACAAGGTAACTTTGAGTGTTCTTGTAGAACCGTTATTTGATTTCATCTTTTTAGAATATCCCATTAAATGGAAGCCGAAGCTGAAGCAGGATCTGCTAATGTGAAACGCCATAAAGGAGAGTGTTTTAGCCGGAAGGAGAAACACCTCATTATCAACGTGCTGAACTATTTCTCGGGAACGATGAACGTTACTGCAGCTGTGAAAGAAGCAAGTAAAGCTTTATGATGTTCTGAACGGAGCATCTATGCCATTAAAAAGGAAGACGGAAACGAAGGTGTATCAAGCCCGAAAAAACGCAAGCAAAGAAAAGGGAAACAAAGCAATGATCGTCTTCATGTGTATGATGAAAATGTGCAATCAGTTATTCGACGTAAAGTGCATAACTTCTTCATTACAAATATTCCACCAACTATGAACAGCATCTTAGCTTCCGTAAATGACGATAACGATCTACCCAACTTTAAACGCACCACATTATTCAATCTCTTGAAAGATATGGGTTTTGAATTTAAGAAGGTTGGCCGCAAGAGTATCCTTATTGAACGGGATGATATTATACGATGGAGACATAAATACCTACGTCGCATCAGGAAGTTGAGAGAAGAAGGTGCTTAATCTTTTTATTATATTTAATTGCAAATTACATAATATTTATATTTTAGGTCATGGGTTAACATTGGTCATTCGGTGAGCAGGGCGTGGCATGACACCACCGTTGAAAGCAATCGTCAGGCATTCATCAAAGGACTCAGTACAGGTTTAAAATCACCCACTGGTCTAGGGCCTCGCTTTGCGTTAGTACATGCTGGTGGTGATAATGGTTTTATTCCGGGCGCGGAACTGACTTTTCTCTGCAAAAAGAACACTGCTGATGCACACAACGAAATGGATGCAGACACTTATGAAAAGTTTTTGAACAGCTTCTACCAAATGTGCCACCGAATTCAGTCATTGTTATTGACAATGCCTCGTACCACAGTAGAAAGTTGGAGAAGATACCAACAATGTCGTGGAGAAAAGAACACATAGATTGGCTTCGTGAGAAAAATGTACCGATTGAAGAAAATCCATTAAAACGAGACCTACTGGCTTCTGTTGCGCATGTTCGGCATCACTACGACAAAAATAAGCTTGATGTTATTGCACAAGAAAAAGGTTACGAGATTCTCCGTTTACCTCCATACCATTGTGAATTAAATCCCATTGAAATGGTGTGGGCTCAAGTTAAACATCATATCAAAATGAATAACAAAACATTTAAAATAAAGGACATGGAAGAATTAATAAAAATGGGTTATTCACAAGTTACGGTTCAAAATTGGCAACATTATGTCAATCACGTGAAAACTATCGAAGATGGCATGTGGGCAGCAGATTATCTTCAAGATGATGTTGAAGAATTTATAATTCAAGTGTCGCAGTCATCTTCCGATGAATTTCAATTCGATTCCAGTGACTAATATGTATACTGTACATTTGTAAATTTTTGGGGACTTAATAAATACAAGCTGTTCTCGGCCACATTTGACAAACAATTACAACTTGTTATTAATTTACCTTTTTGACTTCTGAGGTTAGGTTAAAAAGTAATAAATAGTGTCTAAACTACCGTTTTACGGTGCAGTAATCGATCCTATAATAAGTTTGGCAAGCATGTACTGTTTCTCCATAAGCCCCATACTGCATACTAAGGTGCGAATGGTCTATAGTAACTGAGTTGAATAACTAAAATGTACCGTAAAGTTGGTGAGATTATAGGTACCTGCCGCAAAACGGTAACATTATTCATGGCGGTGTTGCCAAAGATACTCTCCATAATTTCAAAGCTGTGTGGGCGAGAGTCAGGTTACTCAAAGCAATGCGTCTCAAACTAACAACAACATAATTGTCTCGCACTTCCCCGGTGATCACCTTTCAGTGCGATCATTCTATAAATAAAAAATATGACCTGCCACCTGTTTAATTCTTCAATTATATTATTACTGTCCTATAAATACTTACTCCCATTATTTACTATTTACATAAACCCTGCTTTGTACTTGTTTACATCTGCCCTCAATCGATATGCAGTCAATATTTGATACCGCCCAGTGGCGGATTAAACCCTTTAGAGGCCCTAAGCATAACGCCCTTTTGAGGCCCCTCTCCTAATTAAAATTCAAAATTTTTTAACATTTTTAAATCAATGTGAAATTTAATTTTGATTATGGTATAATCACAAATATTGGCCGTTTTATAATGATCAGGTCTGAAAAACTGATGGAATGACTACTCACATCCATTCAATCATAACCGAGGTGTTACCTTCCCTTCTACTTTAATATTAATTGATGTAAAGTAGGGTTCTAATCTAATTCAAACATTGTCTAAAATTTAACGTTTTATTGCAATATTAAGGTACCCGTACCTATAAACTATTACAACTTATAAGGGAACTTTTCTGGATTTAAGGTAAGAAAACTGGCCAATGAGCAATTCATAGTCCAATAATTGTACAATATCAGCCTCAATAAACATGACGGGCAAATTATTTAAATTACTTTGGCCAAGAGAATTTCGTAAATGATTTTTTCTCGTTTAAGACAGGAAAAGGATCGTTCGCCACTAGCGTTACAAATAGACATGGTTTAATGGTTAAAAATATTTTCAAAATAGTTTCCACATTAGGGAATGTAGATTGCAGCCCGTCAAGTAATACTTTATATATCTGGACACAATGGCTTTGCAATCCCACAATAGTCTAGTGGTATTGGGGGTTGTCGTCGTTTATAAATTCCAGGACGTACAATAAACACAAATAAATTTTTCCCAGAGATTTTTTCTTGCTAGTTATTAGTTTTGGAGGCCCCCAGACAAGATGAGGCCCCAAGCACGAGCTTATTGTGCCTGAGCGGTGATCCGCCTCTGATACCGCCAATCCCCTAATTATAACATGTTTGATGTTTTGTAAAAATCCGATTTCTTTTAGCGCTACCATCGTATAAGCAAATCGTAATAATTATTTGATATCAGAATAAGAAAGATTCCTTATTCAAGCCTCAAGGGCGCTAACGCTAACGACGAAGTGAAAACACATAAACAAAATATCGCAATTTGACAACAATTCATAATTTTTTTAAACTCATTACCAAACTCATTACCAAAGGCATTTACAGAGAAGTTGCCTTGTCATGCATCGAAGACGCGAATACACGTCATTTAGGTATAGTTTGCACCTAGGTGAGGACCTTTGAATTTATAACTGTCAAATTCAATGCTGCGACCTTTTTCTACTTGGTCAGATGAAACAAAATGTAATTGTACAGCAAGATCAAGGAATAGGTGCGTTTTGTGCTCGTTACGTCCATACTTTCTTCGAGATCGTTTATAATTTGTATTACTGTCTGTCTCTCCGTGTACCTACACGATATCTTTGTTTAGAAACGTCCAATCGCTTTGAAAAATGGTACACATAACACAGTTAACATGTTCTCAAATAAGAACTACCTACTGTTTTTCAGCTACGTAGACCATCGGGTCCTAAAGTTACAGCCCAAACACAATCTCGAGGATGGTTGGGTATCAGTTAGTATATCGGATTTTTGTATTAGTTTTTAGTATTAAAATTTCGCGATGGCTTACTGTGCATTGTTCGGATGCAACAATGTGCAACTTTTTGATTTACTCGACCATGCTAAACAAAAAGAATTTGGGGGTCTGTTAACTACCATTTTGAATGTCTGGCTAAAGAAAGAAAGCGCAAAATCTCTATAGCTAGTGCCACTTTGAGTTCATTTATCCCTATTATGAATGTTGCAGCAAAATCTTCATTGATTCAATAATTTCGCGGCGGAAACTTTAAAATGATTTGGCTTTATGCAAAATAACACAACAGAGAGCCAGATCGACGACATCGAGATTTTGTTTGATTCGGATTCCTGGTGCTTCAAAACGTGTATTCTCGTAAAGTGTAGGGGGTGATTTAGATTTTCCATTGTGTTAATTCCAGAGGAAATACAATCATACCGAATGCCGAAATAACAGTAAATTTCCCTAGGTGCATAGCAAACAATACTTTATCTTGCTAAGTATAAAATTAAATTATGTATGAAAATAATGAGGAGTTCAAAGGTCGATTTGCAAAATAATATTAAATAAAGATGCACGATGTTATGGCATATGGCAACATTGCAAGTAGGAACCTGCAAGGCCATTGCAAGGCATAGCCATGGAGGTTGATTAATTAATAATATTTCATGTGGTTAGGCAACACATTTAACAGATAACTATTTCAACGAAACCTATTCCGTTGTTCTTATTATTAAGTATTCTTTGGTTGAGGGTAAAATGTTTTTGCCACAGCGAAAAAACTGGGGGTCTGTAGTAGACGAGAAGTGCTGCAATCTGTCATACATAGTGCGAACACATTTTACCTTTTCTTCACTGTCTCATAACGGGCGATCAAAACTGAGTTGCTGTCGAGTCGCCTTTGGAAGTTCAAGTTAAATACAAATTCCCATGTAAACAAAAATTGCAAAGTTTACTCGACAGCAATTCATATTTGATCGCATCGTATTACATTTCAATTTTTTCAGTTATAAATAAATCTAGTAAAAAATCACAGTGTCTTCTCATATTTAAAAAAAAACTTAACCAAGATGGTTGAATCTAACTGGAAGGAAATGGCGAAGCACACCAGCAATACTGATTTAGGCAATTCAATTGAATTACAAACAACTGTAACAATTTTATTGTTCAACACCTATAGTAGACAGTACTTGTATAAAGTATTGATCAGAGGGCAGGTATTTTTTTCTTTAATTATATGCATCACTGCTGATACCTTAACTACAATATACAGTGGTCGCATTTCGTGAAGGAATCAAAATAAATATATTTTTCCATTAAATTCGGACCTGCATAATGTGCCAGTATCACGTACCCTTTCTATAACAAAGAGTTGCCAATTGTCCACAAAAGTAAAACACTAATTGCATCAACTTAGAGCTAACAATGGTTCGTGTAGGTCTACAGACGACGAGGTTGTACTTTTACTCATTTGTTTAGCTAACCACTTCTTTTCTGGCAGAAGCGCTGCCAATTTCTGTTTTCCCTTCGACCTCTTTTTCTCTGGCCGGGACGTGGTGGAATTCTCTTGATCAATCATTGCCAACTGCTCGATTATGTTTTTTGGTCGTTTGTCACTATCTTGATTATCTTTGTGCTGATTATCGTTTTTGTTTGTATACACTACCACATATTGTGAATACGAAGGTGTATTGATATCCGCAAAATCTCTGAAATTGGCAAACTGCTCCTGTTGTTGGGGACGGGATTTCGCTACCCGCCCAAAAAATAACGACGGCCTACCGTGTCCGTTTTGATAAAGTGACCCAAACTTATTTTCGTAACCGCTAGATTCTCCATCGTTGTCGTTGTAGAATGTACCGCCTGGTATCACACCGAAATTTCCCGATCCCAAGAGACCAAGGGAACTTGCTTCAGTAGGTGTGTAACCTCCTACACTGCCGCCTCCACCTCGGTATGTGTCGTATGAAAGTTGTTGCTGGAACGGTGAAATCGGTCGTTGGCTATATGCTGCTTCCTGTTGAAATATGAACGGTCTTGAGTGACCCAATGGCGGGCTTTGGAATGGAGAATACGATGGATAGAATGGGTCTTCCTCATTCAATTCGTGATCGTGTGTTGCATCTATTTCCGGTTCAGTTTCGGGCCTATAATTTACAGCATCACCAGGACTATGGTTGTCTCTTTGAACTGGTCCCGCATCTGAAAAGGTTAAATATAATTAGACCCATAATTTAGCATAAACCAAAGCAGGCATGTGTATCAGTTCCGTATTTAATTATGTAGGTACGAGTGCTACAAATAGTTAATAATATGTCGCGTCATATTTAAAGTGATAAAAAATGCAGGAAGAAGTTGGCCTTCAAGTGCGACACATATATTGTTCAAAAAAGAACAACGAGCAGGACGAATTAAACTTTAAAAATTATTGAAGGAAAGTACAAGACAAAAATTGAATTTGACCGAGTTTGAGAACTTCCGAATTAGTAGTAGTAGCATAGCTGTAAAGTATACATCTGTGGTAATAAGTTTGTGCTCGTGTGTTCTGCCCTGGCCTCCTTTATGCTGCCCCATGTGCCACTTTCATGTGAAAGGTTCCTTTTTGAAAAATCAATTTGAAACGTTTTTGCTGTTTTTGATACACTATTTTTGTTGATGCTACTCTCCCTCTATACCAGATTTACCCACTGATGCATCTATCAAAACACAGGGGCGTATCGTGTAATTCAAACACTGGGTACCGGAACAAACTACTATAAATAAACAACATCATATGCTCAATCCCAATAGCAAACATTTTTAAAGGTAAGAATATAAATCCTTCTCAAGAAAACCGAATCAGTAACCGAATAACATATGAACCGATATAGCAACTACGATCCTTTCTCCTTCACCTCCTTCTCACATGGGAGAAAAGTAAAAATAGTGAGAGAATGGTTACTGGTTGAAAGGAGTTTCAAATTTAAAAAAAAAAAACGCGAAAGATCTACTTGTGGACTAGCCTTCAGGTAAGTTTCAAAAGGTCTTGCAAATTCAATAATACTGACTTGTGCTACATTAGACTGATTTAAATTTTGATCACCCTTCTACAGGGTGTTTTAAAACATGCCTTAAGAAGTTGATTTTTTCAAACAAACCCATAAATTCTCAAGTAGCATCAAGTCAGTAATGTTGACTTTTTGAGATTCTAGTCAACGGAGTCATGGGTACAGGGCTCAAAAGAAAATCAGTCTAATGTCAAAAATTTTGAAAAATCTTGAATGACTACGAAACCCTTGATGCTGGGTATAAGAGGGAAATGTAGTATCAAACGACATAGATTCTTTGGCCCTCTGGCCTACGTGGATAAAAATCAGTCGACTTATATCCTTAAGAACATGTTTATGTGCGTGTATGCGGACGTTTCTAAACAAAGTCCACGGGCGGACAGACAGACAGCATTACAAAATTATAAACAATCTCAACGATCCTTAATGATATTGAAACATTCAAATGTTACTTAGAATAGCGGAATATGGTCTTGATTCAGTTCTTTCTTCCACATCCTGTATATTCGTAACAGCGACGCTTACATTTGAAAAACTATCACTTTTAGTGAAAGACCTGTTATTTAATTTTCCTTGCGGGTGCTTTTATCTCGGCTTGCCGAGTTCCTTATTATGGTATGCTAAAATGAAATTCTTCACAACGGTGTGAACCTCTTAATTATTCAAATGTACCTACTATTTTTTTCACCGTCTGCGTCTAATTAACATACTATCTTTGGAAAATTAATCATACTTCGCTTAATCCAATACCTTATTTTTCGCGTATTTCCTGGTTTTCAAAAAGGAAGATTTATGTAGTAGCTATGGTTTGAATAAAATCACAATCGCATTAACATACCACTTTCTCTCACCATCACGCTTAACATCCACATTGTATAGGTATTAAATCTTCATGCAAGTTACATACTTATAAAGCAGAATTACGTAAAAGTTGAATAAATAGAGAAACAATTATTGAAGTAAGACAGGTAAATGATTGGCGGGTATCCCCAATATTTATGGCATTCAAAATTACTTTTAAGATTACTAAATCGCATACGAGGTTATATCTAACAAAGAAATTTCCATATTTCCGTTTTCCTTTATATATTGCACATTTTAATCACACCTTAGTGATCAGCGAGCGGCCTTCTTCAGTCTTTTTGCCGTTTATAAATATTGCATGTGAGCACAACCGTAACTACTTATTCGTTCCTGTTAGGTATTATACTAACAGTATAATTAACCTTAAAGATAGCTAATACGCAGTCATCGCTTCCACTTGCTTTCTTACAGAAGTGGTTTGATTTTAATCACCATATGGTCGAGAAACGAGTTGAGATGAATCGTTGGTATGCGGAAAAAACTGGAGAAAGTATACAAGATTCGATTTAAACAAAAATACACACAAAGAAGGAATAAAAGTGCGCCCACTTCCTCGCAACATATTAGCGGTTTTTGTTATATTGAACCGCCAACCTTGATTCTGCTAATGTAGATCAACACAAAAAAACCTTGAAGTACAACATCTTGGTATTGAAGTTCCTCATAATATATTCTGTAAATATATGTAAATATTGACTTTGTTTCCCTTATTGATGGAATTCTAGGATCGTTCTTTAATACAAATTCTTGAGTTATTATTTTCTACAATATTGGTATTATAAACATTGACCCATTTACTAAATTATTTACGGGTATTATATTTAGCAGAAAGTATTTGGTATAAACTTTCGTTTCGTACATTTGCGATATCGTTTATTGCACAATAATACGATTATTAGTAAGTAAACAGCTTGTAATTGTGAGTTAAATTACACACATACTTCAGTAGGTGTATAAATAAATTGGTCAATAATGTTTTAACAAGTATTTAAACGTACGTGATATTGACAATCTGCCAAATATCATTTGCATCTGCATGTAATAATTTATAAAACATGATCACTGCTTTAATGTAGAATTAATATGTTGTGTACAGCCTCTTACAGAATTAATGGTACTTATATAACAAGCAACGTAACATTTCTTGCTTGAAATTGTTTCCTAAAAGTAGATGGAATAAAATGTGGCTACCGATGGTTCGCTTTTAAAAGGCCGAGCATGATTTGATATACTACAAAATGAAATAACATTGATCCCATTGATTAATTGCAGGTCTGAACCACGACATACGTTGAAAGGAGATACAAAACAAACCTGCGTTTGGTATGTAAATAGGGGCTTGTGAACATTATAAAAAATCATGGTTTTCGCCTATTTTTTGGTTAGGTATGATTTTGCAATTATTTACGTATTTATTTTCTTTTAACCATCAGAGTATGTATGTTTTCTTTAAAAAAAAGGAGTGAAAAAATTAGCAACTCTTTTGCAAAAAAAGGTTTGAGTTGTATAATATCACATCTTTTCTTATGCGTCAAAGCCACCTTCTGTATGGGTGGTTCACTTTGTGAGGTTAGAACTGCTGGATGCCAAAACAATTTGCACAATTAAAGTCGGCAATAATTTATTTTAATTTGATTGCAAATTCTGGTTTCGTGCGACTGGTGGGAATTGTAGTACTTTTTTCAATGAAGCATCATGTATACTAAATAGGACCAAATATAGAATGATGGAACTGTCAAAATGCCTAGTTCTATGTAAACTTGTCTTACATCATCCTGTAATTTGAATTGTTTATTAACTTTATATAACTTTCCTTTGCACAAAAAAGACTTCCTTTACGTGAGGAGGATGACCCCATGCGGTAATAGTATATGGGAACCGGGACTGAAAAGGCGCAAAATATGCTATAATTTAGATTTATATCAATGGTTAACCTGATAATCCCATCTTAGAGCCGAGTCGATAAATACTCCTAAACATTTAATTGAGTCGACATTTTTAACTGTACCGTCATTTCTCCAGTTTTGTTTTTATTCAAAATCAACAAGTTACGCTTAAACCATTATTTGGCTGAGCTTTGAATGAACCGTTGACGTTTGATTCAATTCTACCTTTGTTTAGGATCGTATTATCGTCAGCGTATAGTATATACTTTGCCCTGTTATCAATGATAGGTAAATCTTTCACGTATATTAGAACAGTAGCGATCCTAACACCGATCCCTGTGGTATACCCATTGAATAAGTAATTATTATTCAATGGTACCTATACCCCGAATTAGTTGTCTGTAACTTGATATTTCTTCATTAAGATGAACTGCGCATATATGTATTAGTAAACGATAGAATTGCTTTTTGCCTTTTTTGGTTAATTTCAGCATGTCCGGGAAAGACCCAGTTTTAAATTTTCAATGCAGCAGTTACATAATTTAGTAATTGGAACCGAAATAGCGTCCTTAATTGATTATCATTTTGGTAGACATCAATCCAACACTGTGTTCATTGAAACCGGCGTAAAGCTGAATATGACTTTGACCTTTGAATATAAAATTATATTCAAAGTTTGACGGAGTGAGTGTTTTTATTTAGCCCGCCTTTCGTATTTTCTGAATCGCTGTTAATATTTTGTGCTGCCGTACAGAAAAACTTATTTAAATTATTTATGTTGTAAAGTGCTCGGTGGGTAAAATGACACGGTAAAGACGCGTTTAGTGATAAAATAAGCCAAAGAATTAGAAAAGTTAATAAGGTCTTTGGTTTTTTTTTAGTTCCAGTATACGCTGCAATTCTCAAGATCTTACGGTGGAGCTGTTTGTTCAGTTGTCCCAGGTTGTTAAGTATCGATTGATAAATAATTGAAAAGATATGGGCATCGAACAATTCTAAACTCTAATATAATTACGTTCCAGTGCGTATTGCTGTCGGCAATTTCTAAGCAATTAGAATGAAAGCTATAATACTCTTTTTAGATGTGACGGTTTTGTCCGTCTGTGTGTTCCTCGTCTAACCATCCAATCGATTTCTACGAGTTCAAGGATCAGTGCTATTGAATATGAGCCGGATTAAAAGTATGGTTTCCAAATACGAGCAGAATGGCAAAAAATTTCCCTTCTGAAAATTGTTTGCAATTTTTCGTATCTTGTTTAAATATTTATTTAAATTCAGTAAAAGCAGTTAAAAATCAACAACCAACCGTAGATGCCATATCATTTAATTCAATGAATCGATCTGATGTATATTTTAGTCACATTTATTTCTAATACACTACGGCGTGTAAACAAATTCACATTATTTGCTTAATCCTGACAGGGAAGATAACGTATGGTTTTAAGAGATAAAAAATAAGTAAATTAAATGAATATCCTACATACCTTAACAATTAATGATGTCGAAACTTCTACAATTAAGTAAGAATTTTTTCAATTGTTTCCAATAAATTAAAAAACGAAATGTTATACTGTTTACGTCTACGCAAAAGGTGTGCTACACTACCGCTCAAAAGTATTCAGCCATCCATTTATTGGTCGATAAAAAGAAATTTGACAAAATTTAAAAGTTTATTCGCTGTATATTATAAACCTAATTATGGTTGTTCGTAACCCTTTTTCTGAAGAAAATCATGACTATTTAATGTAAACTACTTTCTTCATTTTTACTCTTGATACCCAGCTATCCAGTTTATGAATAATAATTTAAATTTTGAAGTTGTCTGGAATAGAACAACCGAATGTAATATTTATTTATCAATCTTACTTGATTCATCTGCCTTTATTCTACCAGTAGAGAAGTTCAAATGCAAAAAAAAAACATTTCTGGTAAGTTTTAGTCAATAGAGGAATTATAAAAAGAAACGACTAATTTGGGCTCGACAACACCACAATTGGACTGTTGAAGACTGGAAAAAGTCTTTTGGAGCGAATATAAAACACCATTAATTTAGTATATAGCCATAAACAATTAAAACAAATTAAAAAGTAATCGTAAACGATTTACATAAAGCGCATTTCCACTTGCATTCATTTCCCATTTGTAAGATGCAACTTCTGTTAAAATCGTAAAATCCGGCCACAAATATGAAAGATAGCGTTGCACATGGGCAATCCATTGTTGACGTGCCTACTCAATTTCAGATTTCATTGAGAAGACTTTCATTATCAATGCTTTTTAAATACGAAGTTGGCACTGCGCATGCGCAAAACCAAATTTTGAAATTGGCGTTTGATTTTCCTTTATTTGAAGTGCTTATGTATCAAATTTCGTTTAAATTCTTCCATAAATAAAAAAGTTGGCACTGCGCATGCGCAAAACCAAATTTTGAAATTGGCGTTTGATTTCCCTTTATCCCAAGTGCCTATGTATCAAATTTCGTTTAAATTCTTCCATAAATAAAAAAGTTGGCACTGCGCATGCGCAAAACCAAATTTTGAAATTGGCGTTTGATTTTCCTTTATCCCAAGTGCCTATGTATCAAATTTCGTTTAAATTCTTCCATAAATAAAAAAGTTGGCACTGCGCATGCGCAAAACCAAATTTTGAAATTGGCGTTTTATTTTCCTTTATCCCAAGTGCCTATGTATCAAATTTCGTTTAAATTCTTCCATAAATAAAAAAGTTGGCACTGCGCATGCGCAAAACCAAATTTTGAAATTGGCGTTTGATTTTCCTTTATCCCAAGTGCCTATGTATCAAATTTCGTTTAAATTCTTCCATAAATAAAAAAGTTGGCACTGCGCATGCGCAAAACCAAATTTTGAAACTGGCGTTTGATTTTCCTTTATCGCAAGTGCCTATGTATCAAATTTCGTTTAAATTCTTCCATAAATAAAAAAGTTGGCACTGCGCATGCGCAAAACCAAATTTTGAAATTGGCGTTTGATTTTCCTTTATCCCAAGTGCCTATGTATCAAATTTCGTTTAAATTCTTCCATAAATAAAAAAGTTGGCACTGCGCATGCGCAAAAGCAAATTTTGAAATTGGCGTTTGATTTTCCTTTATCCCAAGTGCCTAT